GCCCAGCAATCATTCAAAGAATATCCTTGCTGGCCTCAGTCAATTTCCACATCTTTGCATCCTGTTCTGGGAATCCATCAGAAGAAGAAGTTTGATGTCACGCAGAAGAGATTCTCAAAGTTAATGCCTGGAATGAGAGGCTTGAGCTGTGTGGGAATGTGAAAGAAACAGACCTTTTTTTTAAAATTATAAAGCAAATGTTAACTGGTGAAGGTGTTCAAAGCATTAAGCAGATCTATTTCCACAAGACACTGTGTTGTATACAAAGTAAAATTAACATCTTCAGCAAAGGGATAAAAGGATAAATTGGGTGGATAATTTTAATGTGGTGAATGGTCAGGATATATGTTGCCCTGTGAAAACCAAATGAAGAAGCAGAATCTATAATAGCTTTTAAGAGGGATGAGGATTTATATCATTTTAATATTCTACAAAGCAACGTTTAAAAGGACATAAATAAAGGACACTGGAATAAGTGGAACATCTTTTGAGAGTTAACTCCTATTTACTGAGCTCCATGGTCTCCATTTAGTGCTTTAAAATTCTCTTGAATAATCTGTCCAAGTTCTGATGTCAAATGAGTTGTTTAGAAAAGTAGGATACATCAGTTGAAAGAAGGAAAAATCAAAAATTGAATTTTCTTACACACAAACTTAGTTTCAAAAACATTAAAGAAAGCTCAGGGAAAAGATTGTTCAATTTTGAAGACAAAGTACAGTCTTGGAAGTAACCAAAGACTAAAGATAAAAACTGGTTTTGATGTTGATTATTTACTGAAGTACAGACTTATACTGCAAAGTCAGATCTTGGTGGTGTAAGTGCCAAAGAAAATGAAAATGCTCATCATTTAACCAAGATTTGAGCTTTTTAAAAATTTCTTTTGTTGTTAGCAGGGTGAGATTTGCAATAATATCATTTCATAATGATAAGCCACTGCTTTTAACATCAGTTTGATATGAAAGATCAGTAAATCAGGTAGCAAGGTTCTATCCATGCATTTAATTATTTAAGGAAGACATCTCTCTAAAGTAACTGCAATTTCTGATACCTAGCAGCTTTTTCTCCTTGGTCACTGACAGCTTGTTATTGTGGTTAAAGAAATTTACATAAACACTGTTGAATGCTGTACCCTTTTAATATCTACTTTTTAGCAAGTAAGTAAAATATGAAAAGGTTATTTTAAAATGAGAGTTGCAGTCACAAAGCATGGATTAATTAGTGTTCTCCAGCCCTGCTTATTAACAGAATCAATGGTGTTGCAGTTTAATCAAGGAGAAATAACTTCCTGACTCTCGTGTTGATTTTTGCATTAATCCTTTGTGTATGTCGTATCTTTTCAAACATTTTGCATTAAAATTATAGGTGAGAGTTTCTGAATGTCCTGAATATTGTAATCCATTATTAAATATTCACATCAATACATGGGTGACACAATGGCACAGTGGTCAGCACTGCTACCTCACAGCATCAGGAAACCCGGGTTTGATTCCAGCCTCAGGCTACTGTCTGCGTAGAGGTTGCACATTCTCCCTGTGTCTGCGTGTGTTTCTTCTGGGTATTCTGGTTTCCTTCCACGGTCCAAAGATGTGCAGGTTAGGTGGATTGGCCATGCAAAATTGCCATAGTGTCCAGGAATGTGCAGGCTATATGGGTTAGTCAGGGGAAATGCAGGGCACAGGGATAGGGTAGGGAGATGAGACTGGGTAGGATGCTGTTCAGAGGGTTGGTGTGGACTCAATGGGCCAAATGGCCTGCTTCTATGATATTCTATGATATGAGTTGTTCATTTACTGGAAAAGGATCTTGCCCTTACTGCATGTATGGGGTGGGCACTCTTTGAGATTATTAGAGTGTGAAGGAGACAATCCTCCTAAAGGCAGGTTATTCAATCCAGCAGATTACTGATTAAAATGAAATATTTGCCCCAGTATATTTTTAATGCAATCATCAATAGTTTACAGCATGCCTTAGTGTTTCAAGAGTTTGAACACGCAGCTTATCACTGGAATGCTACCTGTTTGTCCTTTGCTTTTGTTGCTTGAACTTTATTCATTGTCGGATGGAATAAAAATTGGTCCATCAAAATTGAGTTAAGCAAAATTTCTTAACTGCTAAGCCCACTTTAAATTATCCTTCCTTTCAAGTATTACAAGGAGTCATATAAACCATAGCGTAGAGTTCGCTGTGTATATATCTGTGTATCATGTCAATATATTATACAAATATAAACATCTTAAGAATTGAGCAGATATGTAGTAGGTGCACTATAATGCAGAAAAAAACATGAAGGCAAAACAAAGAATAGGTATAAACACTCACTGGTTATATATTTTTTGATGCTGTTATCTTGGCTTTCTGGAATGCATCAAACTGTGTAATCTTGCGTAGTGCTCCAATCCGTGACCTCAACAATGAATTTTGCAAGGATAAAATCATCTTATTTCAAGGTTATAATGAAATGCCCTTTGAATACATCCTGTTACTCAATAATAGCAGCTTCACATTGATTCAGAATTTTTAGTGAACAGTGAATGCTGCAGCTTTCTTTCCTGACTTGCTAATGAACTCTTTTTTTCTCTAGATTTTGCATGTTGCACATTGAGTAGTACATGTTGAAAAAACACAGCAGGTCAGTTTGCATCAGCAGGAGAAAACATTTATTGACCCCACATGAGAACGTAAAGAAAAGGGAACTTCTGAATATAAAAATAATGTGTTCTGGATGCTAGAAATCTGAAATGAAAGCTGAGAATGCTGGAAGTACTGAGCAGTTCTGACAACATTTGTGTAAAGAGAAACTGTTAAAATTCCAGGTCAGTCACCTTTGACAGAACTCCTGTTTTGCTGACTGCACCATCATTAGGATGGCCAGCTCATTTCAATAACACTGGCAGTTGAGCTGCACATGACCAATGCAAAAATAGGAGTGGTATACTGATGGGAGAAGTCTGGTTAAAAATTAGAATGCAGCCTTTTTAAAGTCACAAATGACTGACAACTGCAAAAAGTAAACCAGGCAGCTGAGCAATTGGAAAATGGAAAAGTATGTAGTTCAGTGAGTTGAAAGCCAAGCAGCACTGGTGAACACATTTGAAGAACATCTGCCACTGCAGAATATGGCTGAGTCATCAAAAGAAAGAAAAAGGTCTGTTGCTAGCTGGCAGAGGGGAAAAAGAAATTGAGGTCAACCTATATGTTCTTCTGGATAAGCTGAGACAATGGACAGAACCCACAGGAGAACATGTGGTGTGCTGTGTGAGGGTGATGGCCGTGACTCATGTCAATTCTCTCTCCTTAGCGAAACTGCAGGTCATTTTTGGGAAAAAATGTTATTCGACCTGATCAGGCAGTATATTTGCTGCTCGTTCTCTGTGTTCTTCCTTGGGCTGTAGGCAGCAGAGCGTGAAAGCAGCCTATAGTAGTGTTTATCCTACACATGAAAAGTAAGAGCAGTCTTCATCATATGTGTCAATCCGTTCCTGTATCCTTTTATTCTCTTTCATTTCAACTGTCTATCTAGTCTTTTCTTACATTTTGACACGGTTTTCATTCATTAACACTGATAATTTATTCCATACCTTAAGGGAAAGAATTCTTCTTTCTGTCAAAAGTATTTTGCATTCAGTCTGATATGCATGTTTGTTTTACTTAAATTCTTCAACCATTGAACATGGTATGCTTCTATGTATGCAGCACCGCACCCCTCTCCCCTCATTGTCTTTTTAAATAGCTCCACATAATTACCTGGAAATAATATCAGTACTGAATGCTGTTTGTATTCTTCATTATACAACAAGCGTCTTCCTCTCTTCAACTTTGAATTATCTTTCTAGCTAAATTCTCTTTCTAAAAGCTGTTCTTACTCCATTTTTACCTCACTCCATAACCAACTCACCCCATGATGAGTTGCACTTTGTTTCATCTGCGTCTGATTTGGCTCTTCCATTATTGTCACAAGCAAAGAAACATCTTTTGGTACTTCGTCCTCAAAATGAGGGCAGATGTAGAGAGGGCGGTGGTCTCAATTCTACAGGCAGTCAGAGAGAATTAAAGTGACACTTTTCACAGCTCTCAGTTGTCACTCACAACAGCTATGTCTTTTCTATCATGTTTAAAGTTCTCTGACGCAATTAATGACTTAATAATTCCATCCCAGCAATGCCATGGGCCCTCATTTTAATTTAGGTGATAAGCTATCTGAGAATTTCAGATTGATTGGGGTTTTGCCTATTCATTAAGTGTTAAATTGTATTAATTCTAGAATAACAAGTCAACCAAAATGGCTACTATCTTAATCTACAAACATAAAAAATTAGTTTGAATCAACTCCAGTCCAAAGAAATGGCAATTATATCCCTTGACTGATTTAACTGCTTAACTCATGATTATCATGATATCCTGAGCATATTTATTATTGTGAGAATTATCCTTTATTTTTCTTCCCGTTTCAAAATTTAAGGTACTGTCTTCTGTACTGATCCATTTGCAACATTCTAGTGCCACCTTATTTTTGTCTCTCTGATTTGCCACTGAAATGCCTTGGTGTTAAAGTAAATAGTAAGACTGAATATGGTGATTATCCAAACGATGTTAATTGAGATGTATATGCAGAGTATTTAATGCAAGTTATGCTTCATTGGCTTATGCCAAACTAGTTGTCTGTTAATCATAATGAGCCTCTTCAAATTCATTCCAGGCAGGATCTACAGAAAGTATCTTAACCTTTTCTTTGGTGCATGAAATGTTGAAAATTGGGCTCCTATCAAAGACTTTGAAAAAGGCATATGAGTTCCACTGCAAAAGTTTATTGAAAGTTCATGCAAATTTTATAAGTCAGTTCATATCATCTGATAAGATTTTTGCACAATCTGCTTGAAATCCAGTGTGTGAGGACATTAATATGCTTGCTTTCAGCTTGAAGCATTAAGAGTTTTGAATTATTCTCCATGCTGCCAAATTTGTAAGACTCTGATGCAGTTCTTCCTCCTTGTTTGCTTCAGGGTGAGCTCTACCTTTGATATGTATTTGCTGTCAGAACGTGTCTTCTCCTTCGGCACTGACAATGTCGAAATTCTAAAAGACTGGACCCGTGCAATATCCAAGGTGAGAAATAACTTTGAAATACATTTTATGTGTTGATAGTGCCCAAAGCTTTTTAGAAATTGTGGGAATTTACCTTTTTGTTCCTGAGTCCAGTGATTTTGCACGTTATTGCCACAATCCAAATGCTTCTGGCTCTGTCAATCTCTTTAAAATGATACAGTAAAGTACTGAGTCTATATATAATTAAAAAAGACATTGATAGATTTCTGAGAGTTTTATTTAAACCTAAATTGAATTAAGCCTTTGGCAGTAATGCCATAATCCATGTAATAAAGTTTATTAACTAGAATGAAGTAAAACTGTATGACATCCTTCCTTTTCTAACCGGATTTTATTTGTAACCCAGTAATGTAATAGTAGGAACATCAGTCACAATTCAGAAACCAAAAACATTGAGCCCCAGGGTCCCCTGACATTTTAATCTGCTGCCTCAGTTGTCATGGGGGGAACATCAGTTGACAATTACCTAAAGCACTGTGCAATAATTGAATTTTCTACAAAGGAAAGCTGGGAAGAGCAGTGAACCCGCTTCTGCATAGTTATTCACATCTTGCCCCCTAATGACAATTAATCGGCATGTTTTATTGGCTTTCATAATTTTACCATCTCGCACCTAGAGATTGCTTGCCACATCAGTAAGGAAATATTGATGTATGTGTGTGACAGTGCACTACCCTCTGCAGTAAATGCATTAAAATAGTGATCACAAATGTCACCTGACCACATTAAGTGTCCTGAAGAAGGGTAATACCCAAAATATTGACTTCTCCTCCTCCAGATGCTGCCTAGCGTGCTGTGTTTTTCCAGCCTCCTGTTTGTCCCCCTCGGATTCCAACATCTGCAGGTTTTTTTTGTCTCTAACCACATTAAGTGTATGTTGACTGATATAGTCAATGGTGCTTTCTAGGTTGAAATGGCGGAAAATGTTCTCCGACATAATATGATGTAAAATTCATAACATCATATAATTGGTACACATGTTTCGCACAGATGGTTGTGACCAGACGAGAAACAGGTTAGGGTCCATTGGCAGCAAAGAGGATGAGGTTTTTATTTTAAAGAACATATTCCGAGGTGAATCTGATATCCATTGACTCAAGAGGAACAGTTCCACAGGAAAGAAGTGCGTAGCATTATAGCATGGTTACAAAGTGGAAGGAAGCCATTCAGCACATTGGGTCCATGTCAGCTCCTTCCAAAAACAGCACATTAGTCCCAGTCTCCTGACCTTGCCTCATATACCCACAAATATTTTCTCTTCATGACCTTATCAATTCCATCCTGAAAACCGTGTTCAAAGTTAACTGCACCTCATTATCAGGCACTTTATTCTGAGTCCAATGACTTGTTGCATAAAAAAGACTTTTTTTTCTCGTCCTTAGTTGTTCTTTTGCTCGTCATTCTCAACCAAAAGATTCATACTTCAGGTATATTTGGTTACATTCCTGATGTTTTTTTTAAACATAGCCCTTTCTTTTCCCATTACAGTTTTGCCAGCCAGATTAGATTCCAGTTTACTTCAGCCAAATCTGTTCCACATCTCAAAACTATCTCTATAGAAAAATCAAGATAATTTTTGATACAACACATCTACAGAATGGAATTTGGAAGAAAGCAGAATAATAATTATTACTGTTTAAAGACACATTTTAACTTCTACATTCAATGTATAAAAATATTTTTCTTGTAAATGTGAGGTCACTCAACTAAATTAGATCTGTGGAGTAAATAAGATGTAATTGTATTTTAGTTTTATTTTTGCTGAAATGCTATTGTTGACTACAATTCTACAGCTTTGTTATTGACTTGTGTTTTCTAGTTTTTTGTTCCTGAAGTGGTAGAAATCCTGTGCAAGAGAGATTATGAACTGATTGGTCGGCTGTACTACAAGGATGTGCATAACCTAGAACACTGGAAAACAGGCTGGTTTGCATTAGATAAATCACAACTCTGCTTCTGTCCTGAGCAGGATGTAGTTGAAGAGGATTCTGTCCATTTAAAGAGGCTGCAAGAACTCAGTAAGATTTTAATATGTTGCATTTACTACAATACAGAGAGAGGCTACTCAGCCTGTTATTCACATTGACTCTTTACGTAGAATTTTGTTTTATATGCACTAATGGGATGTGGGCATCACTGGCTGGTCAGCTGTTATTGCAATTCCCTAGTTGCCCTTGAGAAGGTAATGGTGAGCCACTTTATTGAACCACTACAGTCTATGTGCTATATGTAGCACCAGAAAGCCATTAGGGAGGGAATTCCAGGATTTTGACCCAGCAACAGCAAATTATTTCCAAGTCAGGATGGTGAGTGATTTGGAGGGGACCTTACAGGTGGTGGTGTTCCCATGTATCTGCTGTCCTTGCCCTTCTAGGTGATAGTGGTTAAGGGTTCAGAAGGTGCTGTCTAAGACATTTTGGTAGACTTTTCCAGTGCATCATGTAAATGGTGCGTACTACTTGCAATGTGCATTGGTGGTGGAGGGAGGGAATATTTGTGGATGTGATGCCGGTTAAGTGAACTGTTTTGTCCTGGGTGAAGTCAAGCTTCTTGAGTGCTGTTGGAGCTGCACCCATCCAGGCAAGTGGAGAGTATTCCATCAAACAACCACTTGCTTACAGCCATAGTGCCTGAGGCTGCTGGTGACACAGCATCCAAAGGCCCGTGTGTATCAGTTGTGATAGGTAACTTTGCAGGAGCGGTGGTGAATTGCAGGGTTCAATTCTCAGGGTAGAGATGTGAAGGAGGTCAGAAGCAAAGGATGCTTCCATCGATGCTGCCAGATTGTGCCAGATTGAGGACTACAGCCTGCCATCAGGTAGGCTCCTTTCTGCCAATCAGCAAGACAGCCAGTGTTCTCAATAAGGTGTGAAGAGCCCCTTAATTGGTTGCTAGTTAACCATTCAAGCACCGCAATTGTTGAGAGATTGGAAAGACTTTTCCATTGAGACCTGAGCGTCTCTGGTGGTGGAAAGATGGTGGGTATCTCCCCAAAGCCGATCCACCCAATTATCCTCCCCTTTCGTCACTGTTGGGAATATTCCGCTTTGAAATGCCTTCTAGAATCAGCGCAGTCCACGCAGCGTAAATCACACCTTCGATTTTGTTATGAAGGAGGTTTCAGGACTTTGTCCTAAAGACAGTGAAGGAGCTGCAATTTAATGCCGAGACTGAATGGTACGTGCCTCAGGAGAAATTGCAGCTGTTGGTGTTCCCATGCACCTGCTGGCCTTGTGCCTGATAGTGGAGGTTGTGGGTTTGGAAAGTGCTGTCAAAGGAGTTTCGATGAATTACTGCAGTGCGTCTTGTTGATGGTACACACTGCTGTCACTCTGTGCAGGTAGTGAAGGCTATGAATGTTAAAGCTGATGGCATGGCAGAGGTTTTCACTTGGTTCCATTCTCCATAGTCGTGGAAATGGTTCCTTTTCAAATATACATCCTTGACTCTCTTGAAATTGAATCTACATCCACACAATTTCAGGCAGTGCATTTTTAAAAAAAAAAAGATTCTCTGCATTTAAAACAAAAAGTCTTTATGTCTACTGTATTTTACTATTTATCTTAAATCTGTGAACTCTAGTAACCAATCCTGCTGTCAATGGAAATAGATTCTCCTTGTTTATTGTACAAAAACCTCCTCATAATATTGATCACATCTATGAAATCTCAGTTTAACCTTTTCTGTTCTGAGGAAAGCAATCCCAATTTCTCCAGGTTCTTTACGTTTCAATTAATTTGATTACAGATTGTTGAAATATTGCAAATAGGTTTTCATTTTTAGAAATGGACATTACAATTTGCCATCTATCAAACTCTCCCATTAAACACCGTTATCTTTAACAAGTTAAATGTTTTCTAAAAATAATTACTTGTGTTTTGGGGACAGAATCTTTTAGCATTTAGTTTTATAGTGCTGTAAATGATCATATCAGAACAATGCATAACAGAATGAGTATCCTTTCGTGAAACAAAATTTAGACCACATTTAGTCTTTATAGCGATCATTATGATCCTACAGTTGACATACTCTAGTTGCCTTTTCATTCTCCCTGGTGATAGCAAGAAGGGAAAATAATTTGACAATTTGGTCCTGGACAAAGAATCAATCCCATCTTGCCACTTCAAAACATTAAGTGTTGGCTGAGAAGATCCATGAGTGACCTTCTGGGCTTGCCACCAGCTGGATTGTCTGCCACAAGAGAAATGGGAAATAAAGGAAGAAGTTGGAGAAGTGGGAAACCGGAGGAACCATCCTGCCGGGTTGGGGGGTGGGCCAATGCGGACTGTGATGGGGGACAACAGGTTGTCTGAGAAAATTATTCTCCTCTGACTTCTCACACCCTGCGTGAGAAAATTATTTAACTTTTCACCACTAGTTCGTATGAAGACTAGACCTCCAGCAACAACCTTTGAGAGTCAAATGTTGCCAGCCTTTTATTGACCAGCAGCTCAAGGTGAACTGGGACTTCAATTTGCCAAGAAACTCACCATTCAGCTCATAAACTGATTAGATTTCTATTCACTGAGCTTTATGATTGGTGGGAGCAGTGAATCAATTACCACTGAATTTGCCTGTCTTCACATTTAGGCTGCAAAATGGACAATCTTGGTCTCTGTTTCAATTTTGAATCAAAATATATATTTTGAAATATTTGACTTCAAAATGAACATAGTTTGGAAATCTATTTCATTGTAACAGAAATTAAGTTCATTTGAAAGGTTCCGAATTGTTAATGGATATTATTGCTGACCTTGAACTGTTTAGTGAACATATATTTGGTAGATGAAAGGTGGACTGAATAGCCAGACTCATGTGAAAGTTGGTGAATATTAACATGGCTTCATATTAAATGATTGCTAAACATGAATGAATGCACTTTTCCATTGCTTTTGTCCCAGGACTTGGTTTTCTTCAAATAAGAAAGGTAGAATTTGTATTTATATTGCATCTTCCCATTCCTCAAGGTTCTCAAAGCAGAAAACAGCTCATAAATGGATTTTGAAATTTAATCTTCACTATTTGTTATGTAAACATTGACAATTTTCACACATGATCTCACAACGAACAAGATCAACAACAAGTCATTCTGTTTCGGTGATGTGAGTGAAGTGATAACTGTGGCATTGAAGAGTCAGTCTTGATTATGTGCTGCAAGACATGGAGTAGCCTTTGACCTTACAATTCTGGAGAAAGTGCTACCACAAAGACGCATTGACGTTGGTGGGTTAAGTTTGAATGAGTCAATGTATCCAATCAAAGGGCGGTGCAGTGGCTCAGTGGTTAGCACGGCTGCCTCACAGCACCAGGGACCCGGGTTCAATTCCACACTTGGGCAACTGTCTGTGTGGAGTTTGCACTTTCTCCCCGTGTCTGCGTGGGTTTCTTCTGGGTACTCCAGTTTCCTCCCACAGTCCAAAGGTTAGGTGCATTGGCCATGCTAAATTGTCTGTAGTGTTCAGGTTTGTGTAGCTTAGGTGGCTTATAGGGAGATGGGTCTGGGTGGGATGCACCAAGGGTCGGTGTGGACTTGTTGGGCTGAAGGGCCTGTTTCCACACTGTAGGGATTCAATGATCTGTCTTTCACTCATTGTATAAGTGACAACAGAACTCTTAAGTTCACCGACAGAAGGTTCACTCAACTCATTCCTTGGATGAAGAGCTTATCTTATAGAGGAAGGATGAACAGGTTAGCGTTATATCTAATGGAGTTTAAAAGAATGAGAGGTAATCTTGTTGAAACATACAAGATCCTGAGGCAGAGATAGTAGGAACTGCAGATGCTGGAGAATCCGAGACAACAAGGTGCAGGGCTGGATGAACACAGCAGGCCAAGCAGCATCATAAGAGCAGAGAGGCTGACGTTTCGGGCCTAGACCCTTCATCAG